TTCATTGTAAACTTGGCCTTCAAAAAATCCTAGGGTTTGGATGGTTTTATAAAATTAGGGGGTGCAAGTTGGTCAAGTTGGAATGGGTTTCAATTCAACTCAGACCCTATATATGCTAAGAATTAGACCTAAAACGCAAGCTTTGATTGACCCCAAGCTCAAGCTCCACCTATTCAATCGACTTCAAATCATAAATCCCAACTTAACCCAATCGAATTTGTGGTTTGGTTCGTTTTATACCTATAAATTGTTTCGTTTGGTTTGATTTATTGAATTTTATAAATCGAATCAAACCGTAAATCGTAAATCAAAATTTTATACATATATATATATAATGAATTTTTTAATTTATAATAAATAATAAATAAAAGTTTTAATTTTTAATTTTTAATTTTTAGGGGAGCTATTTGGGCTTTCTAATTGGGTTAAGCCCAAAAGAATCGTAGAATGATTCAAAGTCCCTAAACTGTATTAGATATCACACCAAACCGTAATAAAACGGTTTCGTTTGATTGGATTTCTATACCAAAATAGTTTGGTTCGGATTAGAAATTTCTCAAACTGTAATTTATCGGTTTGGTCTGAAATTTTCTCCAAACTACACCGAACCAGAACATTAACACCCCTACAAACAATGCCCAATACATACTGAAATTAGATGCACTTAAGTTGGATCTGAGGGTGTCAACGGACCAGTTTTGGACTGGATCCCATCCAGTCCAAAATCAATTTAGATGGACTGGAGGGATCAAGACATATTAGATTGGACCAATCCAATCCAAAACATTTATTAGATTGGATTAGACCTGGTACATTTATAATAAATTTATATTGGATTGAATTGCATTAAGCCAGTACATGGTCCACTGATATAAGATAAGAATATAGGTGTCAATGGATTGATTTTGGGTTGAAACCAATCTAAATTAAAACGAATTTGAGCAAATCTCGTGCACGCCACACCTATTGAACGTTCGTTTGGGGTTGTCAACTTGTCATTGTATTCTAAACCATCACTAGATAATTCTGATCCACAATATCCTGGTTTCATTTACACAATTTTTCCTTTCCTTCAATTCCATTCTTCGTGATAAGCCCAGTCGACCTCGCATGCATCTTGCTTTGTCCTCATCCCTGCGTGGTAAGGTCACTATAGTGGGCAGCGTATGGGGACCATCTAAAAATTTTGTATTTTTCTATTACAATTCCAACACCTGATGATGAAGAACTAGAATAAAAAGCTCCATCCACATTTATCTTAAGAGATTGTATTGAAGGGACGTGAAGACCAGATTGGGTCGAGGACAAAGAAAATTAAGGCCCTATCCCTACTCTATTAATTGCACCTTACAAAAGCTCATCAATTTGAGACTGTATACATATGATAGACTGTTAACACTTTTCCTTCCAAGCTACCCACATAATTTTTTTTTAGAAGGCCAAGCTACCCACAGAATGATCGCACATCTAGCAGAAGTGCAAATATATGTAGTACCTGATTATTTATATTGATAGAACATTAATGGTCAAACCACTGCTCCACCGACCAGCATGGATGTGCATCTGTTCTAATTGCCATCTACGTCAATGCCACACACTCCACATAACAGGAGGAATGGCAACGGGTAGGGTACCCACGACCCTCGCCATAGTTGACTCTATTATTATTTAATATTCCAATTACACTCCACTAGTTGTTGGGACCCTTGAGATACACCGATTTTAACAATGTTTATTTAACTTAATTAATTCATCAAGCATCATTTTTTTGGGTTATGTCACAAGTGGCTAATTTCCTATGTTCTAGATAAATTTGTATTATTTTTCCTATTTTAATACTATTTTGTATTAATTTTTAAATTTTATTGGTTTGTAATTAATTTTGTATCATTTTAGATGAAATTATAAAAAAATAACTTCTCTTATAACAATTCTATAAACCATCATTGTGTTTTAACCCTTATAGTTTTGAAAAGAAATGCAAATATACCACCTCCTTTCTGTTAGCTTTTCAGTAATAAAGACATTGAAGTTACAAAAATACCTTTATCATTGTTAAGGCATTACCACACACAATCTAAAGTTTCAGCATTACCCTTGGCAAATTTATTTTGCCTGGCAACTTTCAAAGAATAAATCTCTCTATTCTTCTTGTACGAAGTAAGGTAAAAAGGTTGAAGTGAAGTAAAAGGAGGAAAATCTTCTTTTTTTTTCAAGGTATTTTACCAAATTTAGATCTGGATGAAGTTGGTTAAGGGTAAATTTGTCATTTAAAAAAATTAATGCATTACATCAACATTTTCTATTTTGAAAGCATATGGAAGGTATTTGCATTTTTTTCAAAAGAATATGGGAGGTTTTTGTTATGATGAAAACACAGGGGAGGTTCATAGGATTGTTAAATTAATTAAGCTGTATTTAAGATTAATAATCTTTTATTAAATTTAATTAATAATATTATATTTTTATTTTTCATTGGAATTTAAGTTGGTTAGTAACAATTAATTATAAAACTAATAATTGTTAGATAATTAGTTTGTAATTTGTCCTACTAGTTTTTACTAATTAATTTATTTTTATTATGTTAATAAAGGTATTTTTATCAAGAATAAATTATTTATAAAATAATGAATTATTAATAAAACAAAACAAATTGACTCTTTTCTACTTGAGTGATTTCAAAGGGATAAATAACAGGTCCACTTAAAATTCCCACCTCCCTCTCTCTCCTCTTCTCTTCTCTTCTACTCAAACCAAGTGATCACAAGGACACCAATGGTAAACAAACCGTTTCTGGAGAATTTCAATTATCCATTGATCATGGCTCTATTTCTGAGCACATCGAGAGGGATCACGAGCAAATCTTTCATTAGGACGGTGATAAATATGGGACTGGTAATCTAGCTCGGTGTATAGAGTGAAGATGGATTCTAGTGATGGTGAAGCCAATAAAGTTGGTACTCTTAGAGTTAGTGAAGAGACAGAGCTTTATTGTGATAGTAACCATTAACACTCAAAATCTGGTGTTGGGTGATTCTGGTATCATGTAACATTTGTTGTCTTGGTTGGACGGGAAGCAAGTGATTTAAAGCCCCATCGTGGTCTCATAGTTGGAATAATTGTGATTGATGCTTCAATTTGATGGATCCATTGGCTGGTAGGATTGGAACGTTGGATTAGGCTAAGTGTGATTAAATATATATTCATTTGGCAAATGAGAAATAAAAAAAAAAAAAAAAACAATTTAGTAGTAGTAGGTGAAGAAGAAGAAGAAAGAGAGAGAGGTGGGAATTTTAACTGGGACTTACCTATTATTTTTCCCCTTGAAATTATTTAAGTTAAAAGAGCAAGCTTCTTTTTTCTTGTTATTAATTAATTATTATTTATTTGTTAAATAAAAATAATTATGTTTGTTTTTATTCTTAGTCACATAGTAACAAGTGGGAATTTTAAGTGGGACCTACTTACAATTTTTTTTTTGTGTGTGTGTTATTAATGTGGCCTAATATTCAATTCAATCATATCATACCTTTGAGAGACCTTCTTATTACCAAACATATATAGAGTTGTTAGGGTCTGTTTGATTATGGGAATAGGGGTCTAGAATCAGAACCAGAATGCCTATTCCAATTCTAACTATTTAGTTTGGTGGAACTAGAAACCGATTCCCATTTGAGGGAAGGGAATGACCATTCCCTCCCCCTCCCTTGGGATCAGAATCCCATTCCAATTGATTCCAATTATTGGATTTGGATTGTGAACCAAACAGACCCCTAATGGCAAGTGTTTGATTCAAGATAGGGTGAATCACTCCCAAACTAATTTTTTACAATAATTAATATATATACTTCCTTCTCTCCTTTCTCACACATGTGCATATTTACTTTTAAATTAAATCATTAAAAATATAATAAATCAAAATTAAAACCCTCAAGGTTTTTATTGTCTCTCATTGACTAATTATTTAATTCTTATATATAATATATAAAATATTTGAATATTGTATATAATTTATATATATAATATTTGAATTATATAAATCATTTATATATATTTTATAATTCTATTAAAAAATTCAAAAATGTTTTAAAATATTAAGATATATATATATATATATATATATATATATATATATATATAATTGTATGTATACATATATACGTATATAGACCTACCTCCAACCAGAACTCTCATCTATGGTTGGGCTGGACGAGAATTTTTAAGAAGTGCATATTACTATTAGGTTAGATCCGCATATGTTTTGTTTCGTAGTGTGTTTTTTTAATGGGGTAATAGCATATAAGGGCAACTTTTGGGGTTTAATATCAACAAAAGTAATATATTTAAAAATGGGTAACTTTTTAAAAATAATATCAATAAAGGGCAAAAACATTATTCATCATATTCTTCTTGCCATTTGTTCATCAGAGCTGTTGTCCGCCGCCGCCCGCCATCGCCGTCTGCCGCCTTTGCCTCCGACAACGTTGCCGGAGGTGGCCGGAGGCAAAGGTGGCGGCGCTGGTGGTTTCTCTGTTCAATGCCACCACCTCCACCCATCTTCGCTTCCGCCTCCGGCAACGTTGTCGGAGATTGGTGGAGACAAAGGTGGTGGTGGCGGCGGGTAGAGGAATGACCACCAGCGCCGCCTCCGCCACCTCTAATTAGCAGAGGTGGAGGTGGGCGGAGGCGACGGTGGGTGGCAGCGGACAGTGGTGTTGGGTGGTGGCGGACGACGGCAAACGACAACTTTGATGAACAAATGGCAAGAAGAAGATGATTAACAGTGTTTTTGTCCTTTATTGAATTTATTTTTAAAAAGTTAACCCATTTTTGAAATTTTTTTAAATATATTACTTTTATTGATATTAAACCCCAAAAATTGCCCTTATATGCTATTACCCCTTTTTTAATTTATGGGTCCTATTTCAAATCAATATCAAGAGTTGCAGCAAAGGAAAAGGAGAACATTGTATCTTTTTTCTAATGGGTGATTGACAACATTTCTTCAAAGTCGAAACAATGATTTGTAAATATATGGGATCAATGTTCAGAAACCAGGTGATCCAGATTGAGAATTGCCCATTAATATTGAATCAAGTGGTCGCTAATTTTGATCCATGATACAAAGCCTAAATGTAATTATTATTTAAGTTACAAACATAAAATTACGATTCTAGCAATGGTGGATTCATTCTGGTCAAAGCCAAGATTTAAAATGAAATGTCTCTTACAATTCACACCGACTTCTGCAAGTAGTGACAAATGACGAGATTAACTGCCTTTTCTTTCTTCAATCCTCACCGGAAAACCTCCTTTCATCTTCGAAGTCAACGTCGATATATAGAATGGTTCTTTCTCCCCAGCTGGCACCATCCGGAACCGTCGCAGAAGACCGGCAGCCACCCTCTTCATCTGCAAAACCGCCATCTCCTTCCCTAAACATATCCTCGGCCCAGCTTGGAACACTGGGTACGTATAGGGATCTCTGTTCATGAAGCTCCATTTTCCGGTGAGTTCATCCCTCTCCAGCCACCTCTCAGGCTTGAACTCCCTCCAGTCTGAGCCCCACAATCCCTCCATCCTACCCATCGCGTAAGGGAGGTAGATTACTCTCGTTCCTTTCCTCACTATCGTGCCATCTGGCAAAACATCGTCCATGGCCGCCTCTTTGGTGTCACTGGGTACCGGTGGGTATAGTCTCATGCTTTCACAGAGCGACGCCTGAATGTAAACCATGTCCTTGGCCTCGTCGTACACTGATATTTCGGGTTTATCTCTTATCTCCTTTAGTATCTCTTCTTCTACGTGAGAATCATTGGAGACTAACCAGAAAAACCACGTCAATGCCGCTGACGTCGTGTCTCGACCGGCTAAAATGAAGCTGATCACCATGTCCGTCACGAACTTCTCATCCAGATGGCCAGAACTCAAGATTCTTGAGAGAAGATCCACAGTTTCTAACGAAGACTTCTGTTCAAGTTCCCTTGTTTTCTCTCTCACTATATTCTGTGCAAATTCTCGTACTTGCGAGACGGAAATCCGTAGCTGTTTTTCTGATCCAATATTAAGTGCTCTTTTCAGCTTCCAGGTAGCCGGAAATATTGAGTACATACGTTCGCTGGTAATCCGAACGGCGTTATCGAACGCAACGGCGAATTCTGTGGCTGGGAGCGATGGCAACAAGTATTGTGGGTCGAACCCAAAGGCAATCTTGCAAATGTTATCGAAGGTAAACCGTTGAAGTATATCTTCCAGATCGAGAACAGAATTCTCGGCAGCAGCTTTTGAGAGGATGGGAACTAGACGGTCGGAGAGTTCAGCCTCGACAACAGTCTCGACGAACTTCCGGAGAGACCTCGTGCTGAACTCGTGGCCTGAGACTTGCCTCTGAAACTTCCAGTTATCCCCGTCGGCGTTGAAGATTCCATCACCCATTAAATCGGAGAGGTTGACTCGAGCCGTGTGGCCTTTCGGGTAGAGATGGAACTTGGTTTTGAGGATGTGTTGGACATTAGAGGGGTTGGCAGTTAAGACATGACGAACACCAAAAAAGCGATGAAGAACAAAGGTTCCAGTGGGGGAGTCTCTCATAAGCTCTGCAAACCATTGGTTTCGTCGTTTCCGATTCTTGAAGATGGCAAATGCAGAGCCGATAAGTGGGTAAGATCTCGGCAGCTTACTCACCGGAGATGAGGACGACTTCTTACCCAAATGAAGACCGGAGATAAGGATGAAGAGGAATGGGACGATGAAGAGGAGAATTGACGATGAGAAAAGGCTGTAGTTAAGTAGAACCATGGTGGCAGTAATGAAATTCAGACAGATGAATTAATGTTGGGTTGAGGTTGAGATGCAGGAATAGATGGTATATATAGATGAGACCAACATAGTTAGTACGTTCAATGAACACTTGATGATAAATATGTAGTTTTTAATCTTTTTTCAAAGATAGACTGGGGATATATTTTACGGTATACGATGTAATCACTTTATACTAGTGGTGCAACTTGCAGCTTGCAGCTGGCAGTGTTTGACACATGTCAATTATAGCATTGTTCATCAAAATGATGAAACCGGATCAATCCGAGTTAGTTGATTTTTTAATATCTATAATCAGTTTTGGTTCAATCATTATAATAATTCAAGAGTTCAGGTTGGTTTCAGTTTGACTTTATATAAATTTTAATATGAGAAGTGGAAAATTTTTCATGTTTCTTAGTTTACAATATTTTATATTTAAAATTATTTTTTAATAATACTATTGCAGTTTTTTAAATTTAAATTTTTAAATTGATTAATAAAATCAATATAACTCGAATTAGTCAATTTTCATTAATAATTAGTCGGTTTTAGATGACTATTCTTCAATTTGACCAGATCGATTTGATTGATCAAATCAACCGGTAAACACTCCTAACCAATTATATATATATATATATATTTTTCTGCTTGAATTTTCGTGATTTTACCACTTGTGTGATGGCTTCTGACAATAATGCCCTACTTGGCGTTTGAATTGATAAATTATTTCATGTGAAAGCAGAAGTCAAATGAAAGCGAGATTTGCTATCAACACAAGCGTGTTAACATATTTTCAATACAACAATCTAGCCACATATTGGAAGCATCTCCACCACACTTTTATTAGTTGCAACTGCCGACCAGGAGTGAATGATCCTTAGTTACTCCAGCATTCATGGCTATATTTTTGACTAAGGATAAGAAACCTACTAGCAGACTCTCCCTCTGATAATAATATAACATGTAGTAGTGGATGCTGACATTTTCACTTTTGCTCCTTTTCAAGGAGGAACATCTCCATCACGCTTTACTAGTAGCAAATGCCGACTCCAGTATGTGATCCTTAGTTATTCTCTCTAGCGTTCGTTCATGGTTTACTTCGAAACTTAACAATCTCTCCCTCTGATACGTATCGACATCGATGTTGTTGCTTTAGAGATATTTTCTGAAAAAAACGGTGCCATATAGATGTAGGCTTATTGAACTGTTTTCTCAAAAACTGGCTCTTTTTTTTGTTTGGCATCGATGCTGCTACATAAGATGTTTTTTTGGGGAAACAATACTGATTTTAATTTGTTTGGCCAGTTTTTTTTTTTAACTTTTTATTTTTTTGTCATAACAGGTCATCCATTCAGTTCGAACGGTCTAGAACAGTGTTTTTTCTGAAAAAACGAAACCAAACAAGAAGCTGCTTTCTAGAGCACCGCTTTTTCTGATCATATGGTGCCATTTTATGGGGCAATGACATCAATGCCAAACACTGCCTTGGTGCCACCTAACATATCAGAATACCATGGATTGATGTTGAAGCTTTGAGGCTGTTTAGTTGCATTGCCTTTATCTACAAAACTACAAGTTTTCTTCAAAATTGGAATATCTCTTTATGAATCTGGACAAAACCTTTATTGTTGCTTTTTATGACAGTTAGATATCATTAGGCGTCACATAAGATGAACAGTAAAAATATGTTTAGCCATTGGAGAAACGTCAATGGATGAGGCATAAGAATCAAGAAAAGCGTTCTATTAATTAACAACTTAACCAAACATTATTTCAAACTCCATTGAAGAAATGGCTATGTGATGCTGAGTTGGCACCAATTTTATGATTATGGAACCACAAACCATCTTAAGTGAGCCCATAGAAAAACAATCTATATTTTTTATATATTAAAAGGGAATGTGCCAAGTTGGCATTCCTACTTTCTGGTCCTTTTCTCAAAGGCATTTATCCTTTGTATGTTTTTTATTTTTTTATTTTAAAATTGAACAAAATAACTCAATTGATAAATCACCTTTAATACTTTTAGCTTTCATCATGAATTCACTATTAACACACTCTCTCTTCTTTCCTATTAACTCCTTTAATTATCTCTCCTCATTAATTATACTCTCTTATTCAATAACTCATGTCATTAATTCTCTGTCCTCTTTATCATTCCATTAAATTGCCTAAAATACATTAACTTTATCAATATGTACTTCCATTTAAAAGATAGTAAATTTTAAGTTAGTTAATCAAATAACAATTTGCATTTCAGAATAAATATTATTACTTCACTTGACAAATAAAGTCAATATTTTAATAAATTGACTTGGAGGCTAAATACCTTTTGCCTCTAGGCCATGAGTCAATGGTTCAACTGTCCAAGTTGGATAAGTAAAACCATGACATGCCATCTATCTATATATGTATAACATAATATAATTACATTTTACATGTATAAATAAAAGAACCAAAAAGTGAAATTTGAGGGCAATACTGAGTTTTTATTTATTTATTTTTTTTTTGTCTAGTGGGGCTTCAAAGATTGTGAACAGTTATACAAAATAAAAAAAAAAGATAACCCCAATCAAATAACTAGGTACAAAGTTAAGTCCTCCACAACTTTTCAATATATTGTATATTGTAACATGTAATGACTGGGTCAAAAGGGTGAGTGGTTCAACCACCCAAGATAAATGGAGTGGGTTTTAGAAAACCTAAAATTAAAAATAAAAGTGTGGCGGTTTGAATGGTTCACCCATCCGAGTCAACGATAGGTTTAAAGCATTGAATAAAATATCACAAAAATTATAATCCATTTATATTCCATTTGAAAATAATAAAAATTAATTAACAATGGCAAAAATAATTTAGTAAGTTACTTACATAAAATAAAAAATATATATATTAATTATTATTGATAAAAATATGTTTATTAATATATTAAAAATAAATTAATTAATAAAAATAAATAACATAAATCAAAAAGTAATATCCATTTAAATTTAATATAAAACCAATACAAAACTATCTAACAATTATTAGTTTTATAATTAATTTTTACTAATTTAAAACCACCTTAAGTTCCATTGAAAAAGAAAAACTAAATATAGTTACTTAAATTTAAAAATATTAATAAAATTTATTATTTTTAAATATAGTTAAATTTATTTACACTTAATTTAAATTTCATTTAAATATGGGAAAAATTATAAAAATCTCCTTGGATTTTCTAACAATGTTATGAAAGGCCCCTGTGTTTCGAGTCTTTTGACCTTAACAAAACCTCCCCTATTGTTTTGGAAAAAGGTGCAAATACCTTCCTTTCATTAGCATTTGAAATAGAAAATGTTGATGTAATACATTCATTTAAAAGAAAACACCAAATTTGCCCTTAACTTCCTTTTACTTTGCTTTATCCTTTTTACCTTACTTGGTCCAAGAAGAGTAGATCTTTGAAAGTTGTCAAGAAACATAAATTAGTGAAGTGTAGAGTTGAAACTTTAAATTGTGTACAATAATGTCTTAACAATGATAGGGGTATTTTGGTAACTCCATTTTTTGTTGATGAAAAACTAGCAAAAAGGAGGCATTTGAACTTTTTTCAAAACTATAGGGAGGCTTTTGTTAGGGTGGAAATACAATGGTGGACTATAGATTTGTAATAAGAGGAAGTTTTTTATAAATTTAAATAAAAAATAATATGAAACAACAAAACGATATAATTTAAAAATTTATAAAAACTAACATTAAGATACAAAAGAATAATACAAATTTATCTAGAGCATAAGAAATTGGCCACTCTCACTAAAGTGTAACTTAGATTGTGATCAGATAAACTAGACATAACCCAAAAAAATAATGCTTAAATTGGACTTAGATGGGCATCACTTAAGAGGAAGTTTTTCATTCTAATGTTCTCCCTGGTGGCAAGATTTGATCCCAGGTCATCATTACAACTAGCTAGAGAATCTACCAATTGAGCCATCAGCAATTTTGTTCTCATGCTAAGCAGTTAATTTATCTACTTCTCATAATATATAAACTATTAAGCAGTTAAAGCTTAATAACAAAAAAAGAAAAGAAAAATATTTTTTCTACTATTTTATATGTAAAAAAACTAAAAATATATAAAAAATTTGGTCAATCATTATTACTTCATGTTTTCCCTTAAAAAAATGCATTTTTTAACAGCAATCCATGCATCAAACAGATCACTACTAGTATGTGTATATAATAGTCTGTTTTACACCTTTCCTTCCAAGCGACCCACAAAATGATCACATCTCATCTAGGAGGTGTGTGTGGTCTCATTTCATTCTCATAGCATAAAATCTAGTATAATTTCCACGAACTAGCATTTGCCTTTATAAAAGAGCAAAAGTCAAAATGGATTAATTAATTAAAGTGCCCTAATTTTTCCGACAAGTATTTAAAGCACCCCTAAAGTTTCAAAACGTGCTTAAAATATCCCTGAAATTTCAAAAATATAAGAAATACTACCCCTCCCTTGGTTACTGTCACATTCCATATGTTAAAATTGATGTCAAGTGACACTTTCAACTTTTTGAAAACCCACTTTTGCCCTTACCATAACCGTACCCCAATTTTGATAACCCAAATTTATTCTTCCTCTTTATAAGGTTATTTTTCAGAGGATGCCATAAGACTTGGATTAAACAAGGGTCTGAGGTTCTCCTTGTCGTTTGGGTTATTGAGGTTCTCCGCCCGCATCCTTCAAACCACATTTGTTAGATACTTGCAGTGCTGCGTTGAAACAAGGAAATAAAAGGCTTTAATGTGTTGTTATGGCTCCACCTTGAATTAGGTGAATTGACTTCTCGATGGGACCACTCCTCACGGTTCGGTTAAACCGAACTGTGAACTTTGTTTCGGAACTAAATCAGTATTTCCGTTTTTTGGAAAATCGGTAATCGAAATTAAATCGAAGTCAGTCGATTAACTGATTGACTGATTAATTTTATTGGTTTTTTAATTTTTATAATATATACTATAAAAATGTATATAAATATATAATAAAATTTATATATATAATATTATATTTTAAATAATAAAAAAAATATATCATATATTATAAATATATATGT